CGTTGGGATTTGCGTCCTGGGCTTGGGGCTGGGGTCCCTCAGCATCCCTTGAGTATCCCAGCACCCTGCCATGCTGCTTGTTTTCCTCTCGGCTTCCTAAAAGAAAGAATGCCCCAATTCATCACCCGGGAGCCCCCGGGTTTCTCTCCTCTCCCCATCTCCAGGTGATCACCCCAATGGCTTGGGGAGGAGCAGAGCCATGGGGTGGGCCCTTTGCTGGTCCCCAAATGCTGCGTGTCCTTTGCAGCCGTGCCCAGCACCCAGGGGGGATGCTCTGATGAGTGCTCCTGGGCAGCATTGCTGGAGCCAGCACCCATCAGAGGCCCCGGGAGCCCCCGGGTTTCTCTCCTCTCCCCATCTCCAGGTGATCACCCCAATGGCTTGGGGAGGAGCAGAGCCATGGGGTGGGCCCTTTGCTGGTCCCCAAATGCTGCGTGTCCTTTGCAGCCGTGCCCAGCACCCAGGGGGGATGCTCTGATGAGTGCTCCTGGGCAGCATTGCTGGAGCCAGCACCCATCAGAGGCACAGGGAGCGAGGGTGAGGGGCTCCTCTGCTTGGAACCTGAACGGCATCAGTGAGCATCTTGCCATTTGTCAGCTTAATTGTGAAGCGAGTTAATCCATGTATCCAATTTAACCTTTAAGGCTTTAATTAATGAGTTAATGTGTGGAAAAGCTGGGCAGAGGCTGGGTTGTTGTGTGGTTGCTGGCCCTGGGTTGTGCTGCTGCTTTGCTGGTGTGGGCTCGGGTGCCTGTGGATGGGTTGGGATGTGCTGGTCGCTCCCAGTGTGGTTCCCTGGCACATTGGGGACCCCATGGACCAGGGAAGTAGGGGTGATGGGGACACCTTGATTTGGGCGGGAGCATCATCCATTACAGGATGCACATTTGCTCCACCGTGGGCGCATTCTCCTTCCTTTCCACCTCCAAATAGCTGCTCTCATCCAGTTGCTGGGGTGGGATCCTGCTGGGGCCGCTGCTGTGTTGTTAATGCTGCTCTTAATTGAGGACCATCTGCACATGGGTAATTTAATTTTCCCTGCATCTGCGAGGTTCCAACTTTATTTATCCAACGTCCTGGGGATTATTTAACTCACGAGCATCATGTTCCTCCAACAAAGGCACTCCAGGCATTCCGCTGCAGCGCCTGCAAGGAGGTGTTCTAACGGCACAATCAATGCCCCAGGAGAAAGGACACAGAAAGACTGACACTGCAAGGAGCTGGGCTCTGGGGATGGTTCCCTGCCTGATCCGGCGTGGCGGGTGCTCTGTTGTGTTACCTCTGCTATGTTAAACTGTGCAAGACTAAGAACAAGCCCTGAACAACACAACCCCTCTCGCTGCCATCGGCCTGGCAGCGCCTTTCACGTCTCAGTGCACTGACAACGTGTCGTCTTTTGTCTTTGGATGCTTGTTAGTGGTTCGACCCCGCAGCTGTGCCTTTGAAGGGCTGGGGGTATGGGGCTGAACAGCAGCTCCTTAAAAAGTAATAATAATTGGAAGCTGGGATGTCTATTAACTGAGGTAGGGGGGAAGATCTGGGTGTCTGGTTTGCATGGCATTGATGGGATCCATTGTGTGCTGCTGGAGGCAGCCCCAGCCTTTCCCGTCCTTGCTCTTCCCACCTTCTCCTTGGCTTTCTCACTGATGTTTTGCCCTGTGCTCGGGTGCAGGGATGCAGGCAGGGATGGAGCAGGGATGGACAGGGATGGAGGCAGGGATGCAGGCAGTGATGGAGCAGGGATGTAGGCAGGGATGCAGGCAGGGATGCAGGTAGGAAGTGCTGCTCTGGATGGCTCTGGCTGTGTCTCCTTCCTGCAGGAGCATCTCTGCAGCTCCTCGCCCCGAAGCACTGCTCAGTTCCATACCCAAACCCTATGGGATCCATTTCCTTCCTTATCCTGGTCCAGCAGCACCTGGGGCCACGTGCAGACTTTAATGAGGTTTCAGCATTCCGCCTCCTCCACAGTGTAAGTCAGTTGTAATTAGTGTGTCTCCTGCGGCTGCCAGCTTTGCTGCTAATGAAGGTCCTGAACTGGGGATTGACGCATGAGGTGCAACCTCGGAGCTTCGGCTCCCTCAGCCGCTCACCAGATGTTCCACCGTTGTGGTCCATGCTCAGGGCCATGTTCTCCCTCCCTCCACGCTGCTCACAGTGACTGGTCACCCTGGGAGCGTGGCCATGCTGGGGACGCAGCCGCATCCCTGCGTTGGTGCGTGTTATCCTCCAAGCCGGTGTGGCCAAGGGGCTGTGTGCCCGTATCCTTGTGTGCTGCTCCACCAGTGTGGGTGTGCAGGAGCTGAGATGCTCCCTCTGCCCTAATTAAAACCACCAGAAGAGTGATGAAGAGCCTTGATAGCATCATCCTGGTGGGTGATGGGGGTACCTGCATCCCGAGGTGCTTGGTGCTGGCTGATGTGGGATGCACAGGGATGGCTTTTGGTGCGTGTGCTGCTGTTTGCCTGGGAGGGTTTTGCTGGCACCAGAGCTGGTGGCAGAGCCTGTGCTGGGGAAGGCAGGGAGCCAGGCGGGTTGAGGGCAGCCCTGGCCATCCCACAGCAGGAGAGAGCACCCCATGGCTGCTCCGGAGTCATCGCCAGAGCAGCAAACACTTCCCCATCCTGGTGCACCGTTCCCTGCTGCGTTTTCATCCCATCCTGCTGATCACTGCGCTGATTCCTGTGGATCTAAGCAGGCAAATCAGTCTGTTCCCTGCTCCTTCCTCTGGGACCACTGGATCTTTGGGATTGTGTTTGATGGATGTTTGAAGAGCCTGGTGCAGCACACTGGGCTGGCAGATGCTCTGGGACCTGGTCTGGATCCATCCCCTGCCCTCGTTAGCCATCGCAGTGCCCAGAGGCGCACTGATGGGCTCCCCATCTGCACAACCCCTCTCCTCCTCCTCCTTCCCACCTTTTTTAAGAAGGGGATGGAAAAACAACATAGAGAGAAACCAGCGCTCACTGGGAGAAAAATGGGCACAACCAGCAGGAAGAGGAGTTATTTTTAAGTTGCTGGCTGCAGATGGAGTGCTTGGCTGTGTCTTCTGGAGGCCATTAGGATGGGCTGCTGGTGCTCATTAATTTCTTGCCAGAGGTCTTCCAGCCCTCGCCACGCACCAAGTCAGCCGTGCAGACACGGGGATCGAAGTACCCAAATAGATGCCGCTCGCAGGGGATGCAGGGGATGATCTTTGGGCTGGGCCACGGTGAGGACGGCTCCAGTAGGTGCTGGGATGAATGGATGAAAGTTAAAAAGCAGCAGGAGGAGAGCAGACGAGGGTTTGGGGGGAGGAACCAGTGTCTGGGATGTGGGGCCGCCTGCCCCTGTCCCCTTGGGGTCCCGCAGCCGTGCTCCCCCCTCACTGTTCTTTCTCTTCTCTTTCAGAATAAGGTGCTGACGGTGGATGGGGTGAAGGTGAAGCTGCAGGTACGTCCCCGTGGTCCCAGTAGCAACATCCTCATCCCCCACTGGGTGTTTGGGGCTGGGCAAAGCCCCTCAGCAGAGGAGCACCCCAGAAGCAGGACCCCCATCTCCATCCTTTGCTGCTGCATCTCCCACCCTGGGACTGCCTTATGAGCCCTTTTAGCTGCTCTGTCCCACCAGCAGGAGCCTGTTCTGGTGACATGCAGGAGATTCCATGTCCCTCCACAGCTGGAGCTGTTCCAGCCCCCCCAAGACCCCCCTGTTTCCCTGATCCCTTTGCCCAGAGCTCAATACCACCATTAGCGCTCATCCCCCCTGCCCTCTGCAAGCGCATCGCTGCAGTAAAACCTGGTCAGTTCAATCAGTGGGTCCCCACGCACCCATCTGCCCGATGGATTTTCCCATTAAGGGGCACATCGGGAGCCCTTTGCCACGCGCCGTTGTCTCCACACGCTGAGGAGCTGGAGGTGCTGCTGCAGCATCGATCGCACTTGTCATTTTCCTTGTTACTGGCCCTGGAAGCAAAAGGCTGATGGAGCTTCCTGGGGATGCAGCGGTGGGGTTGGGGCTGGGTTTAGGAGGGTCCCTCGGAGCGGTGCCAGCTCCTGCTGATCCCTCTGCTCCACTCTGCCCTCCAGATCTGGGACACGGCGGGGCAGGAGCGCTTCCGCAGCGTCACACACGCCTACTACCGGGATGCCCACGGTAAGCACGGACCCCCCGGCTGCCCCCCGGTTCTGCGGCTCCCTGCGAGCTGTGACTCCAGGCCAGG